TTTCAAATACAACTCATCACATTTGTACAACCAATGCAACCCAATAAATTGAGATATTCATGGAAATGATGAGAGTTCATTTATTATGATTTGAATATTTATGGAATATGAATATGGTTCATTAATTATGATCAATACTTTATATTAGGAAATAATCAGAACTTATATGAAATCACATATTAATCAAATGAAATGGACGGTTGAGATTAGGTTGTATTGGTTGCACAAATATCCAGTATTGTATAATAACCAACCTATATATATATATATATATATATAGAGAGAGAGAGAGAGAGAGAGAGAGAGAGCGATCAAATGCAAAGTACCCAATTTGTACAAACCGTGCAAATCACCCTAATCCGTCGATTTTCATTGTAAACGTGATTCACATATTAAGCGTTTCCTCAATCTTCATTTTTTTTAAAGTTGTTTGGTTCAGACAAGGGAATGAAAATATAAATGAATTTTCATTCCCCTCAGTTTAACCTGAAATGTAAATTTGGGAATGGACTTCTTATATTATATAAAATCAAAGAGTTTCCTTTTATTTTCAATCTTATTAATTACTGTTTAATATTTGAATTTGTTTATATTTAGTTCTATTAAAACAAAATACATTTTACAAAATAAAAAATTAAATGTTCAAAATAAAAATCATATCGATACAATTTAATTTATAAAAAACATTAAATACAAAAAGCCACTGGGTATTGCTCCTTTTTTAGTTCAAAAACTCCGGAATTCTAATTTTGTGTCAGGACGTACGGGCCAAACGACAGTCTCAGGTAAATATCGTGAGAAGGTAAGAAAGAAAGATTCATGTGTGAATTATTGAAAAATTTAGTTGGAGATATATATGTAAACATATATAAATAATTTGTAACATCAGTTCACATATTCATCTTGAAATAGATTTTTTCAAAATATCTTTACTGATTCATATATTAATCTTTCTTTCTGAACGTCTCACGATATATCTAGAGCATCTCCATCTGTAGGTTTTTTAAAGCAAAAAGTTAGTGTCTTATAAAAACTACCATCAGAGACAGTTCATATAAAAACCTCACATCTTTTGAATTCTTGTACAAAAACCTTCGTTCTTACCTTGAACTTAGGGGCTGTTTCCCAAACATTTATCTGGTAAGCATTTACCAGGAATATTCAATATTACTATTTATTATCAGGTAAAATTTTAATCAACAAAAACGAATTTTTATGCAACAATTTACCCGGTAAGAGCTGACTGTGGTAAGAGTCATTGCCCTCACTTACTGGGTAAAACTCTCGGTCTTTGCCTTGTTCTTACCATGTACGACTTTTGGTTCTTATCATATTCATCTGGTAAGGTAATATAACTTGGTAAGCGCATACCCAATTAAATATAGAGAATTCTCTAAAACTTGATGTTGGGAGTAGGGGTGCTCAAAATAACGACCAACCTGACCGACCCAACCCAAAAAAATCTCAACTCGAGCTAACCCGACACATAGTTGAAACAAAATTAGACCAACCCGCATCTATTGGATTGAAATTGGGTTAGGATTTTTCGAACTCAATCCAACCTGATGCACTTTTATACTATAGATTTAATATCATTTTTAAGTCATTGATTAACATATATACATTAGACATTAGACCAATCCATAATTAGCTGTATTCAAAATTATATTACAATATCAACCGTAATTTTATTTTCTTATTTACGATGAACCTTCAATTTTCTTTTTTGTTTGTTATTATTTTGATTTTACTTCGTTTAAACAAAAACATTTCACTAGATTGTAAAATGATGTAGCAAAGTTTCAATCCGATCAACCCGACCAACCCACACGGTTTGGGTTGGGTTGTAGTTTTTATTGGGTTGAGTTAGGTTGAGATTTTTCAAACCTCAAACATTGGATTAGGTTGTTCAAATACCTTCAACCCGATCAACCTAGCTCATCTTCGGTCCTAGTTAGGAGAGAGAATTAATTATTTTATTAATTCAACCAATAAGATTAAGTTATTATTTTTTATAAAAAGTTTTAAAAAGAACATATTTAAATGATAAATTAAAGAACATGATAATAATATAATTTATGTTACATCCCTAAAATAAAGAACTTATTGAAATTAAATGTAATGTTTTTTAGAGATATTAAATTTTCGTTCTCAAAATGTAATTTTACGTGTAGGCATGGGAATGGGGGAACCTGGCCCATCCACTCTGGTAGGGATGAGGATTGAGATTCCTCGCCAAATTGGGGATGGGGATCCTCGTTTGTCTCAAACCGGGGATGGGGATGGGTATCATACTCCCTGCCCTGTACTCGTTATATATATGTATATATATATATATATATATGGTATATTTTTTTTACAACCTTGTGTATTTGTACAACCCTTACAACCCAATTAATTGAGATATTTATAGAAATGATGGGAGTTCATTTATTATGATTTGAATATTTATGGAATATKAATADRGTTCATTAATTATGATTAATACTTTATATTAKRAAACAATCAAAACTTCTATGAAATCACATATTCATCAAATGAAATGGACGGTTGAGATTGAGTTGTATTGATTGCACAAATATCAAGGGTTGTATAATAACCAACCTATATATATATATATATATATATTAATTAATGTATACATATATTATTAACCTGGATATCCAACTCGTTATGCGAGCTGATTAATCTTAAGGTGACCATCTACTTTGCAGATAGCCCAGAGTCACCGCATTTCAACCTCCGTGGCCACAAGAGGATTTTTATATGTATATTATTTATTTCAACTAAAGTGATAATTCATAATTTCCTATTTTCTAACTAGGTTTATAATCTAAAATTGTTATTTTTTGGATGTTAATATGTAATATTTTAGATGTCAAGTCAAAATACAATTACTCGATAAGTTATGTATATTACTCAATACCTTTTGTTACATATAAATTTAAGTTTTTTGGATTAAATTGAATTTTTCTTTGTTTTAGGTTATTAGTTTTTATATGATGTTGTGATTTTTTTTGTATTAAATTAAATTCATTTTGGTTTTAGATTTATTGAAATTGTTTGAGATTAAAACATGTATGGTCTCTCACATATTTAATGTAAAATAACTTACATAAACAAAAAAAATCTTCGTTTTTCCGTTGGAGAACAGGGATCCCCATTCCCCGTTGAAAATGAGAATGAAGATGTGATTATATTCCTCGACGGAAATGAAGACGAATATATATATAAGTAATCGGAGATGGAGATTGAGGTCACCGTACCATTTCCATGCGTATTTTTAGTTCATCTAAATCCAACCTAAAAAAATCTAAATATTAATTAAATTAGGAAAAAGCAAAGAATGGTCAAAGGCGCACATGTCACCACAATAATCTCGTTGATTTCATGATCCCTTCTCTCACCGATTCTACTCAGAATCACCATGGCCAATTCTCTCATCTTCTTCCTCTTTCCTCTTGCCCTCCTCATCTCCATCTCCACTTCAATCCCTAACCCTAACAAACCTTCATCTAACTCACTAACCGCTCACTCGGTACTCACCAGCCATGGCTTCCCCATCGGACTCCTTCCTACTGATGTCCTCTCTTATGACCTTAATCACACTTCTGGACACTTCTCCGTCAATCTAGGCTACCCTTGCCGCCTCACTCTTCCACCTGACAACTACCTCGCCACATACTCCAAGAAGATCACTGGTAAAATAGTCGAGAATCGTATTGCCGAACTCAATGGAATTAGGGTTAGGGCTTTCTTCCAGTGGTGGGGGATTACTGGGATTAAAATCAACGGTGATGATTTGGTGTTTGAAGTTGGGATGGTGACTGCTAAGTATCCTGCCAAGAATTTTGATGAGAGTCCTCAATGTGAGGGCAAAAAACGCTCGTCTTCTTAAAAGGTATGTATAAATTGAAGCTTTTTCTTCTTCTTTCTTCTTGCGATTCGAAATTTGCGTAAATTCAAGTTGTTTATTGGTTGATGATTTCAAATTAGTATGAATTTGCGTGAAGATTTTTGACTTGTAGTTGGAAATTAATGCTTATGAGATAGCTACTGAAATATGGATAATTGATGGTTGACAATTAATATATGGTGGATGTCTGGACCAACAAGCCATGTGCTTTCATGAACTAATATTGGTATATGGTTACCTCATAAAGTTATTTTTGGCTAAGCTTTTATGGTCATATTTGGCAATCAACTAGCTTTTTTCCCCTTTTTCTTCAAAGGTTGTTGAAAATTTCCCCTTTGGTAAGCCATAAAATAGCATTTCAATAAGCTCCAAGAACTTTTTCACCATTTTCCAATGATTTCCCTGATATTTTTTTCCTATTAATTTCATTTTAGCTTTTCAGATAGTTTTTACAAACAAGATTAATTTATCAGCTAATTTAACAAACATGGCTTAATGTCAAGTTGTTGTCTTCACAACTTTGTGTACAACCTTAGTTTGGGGCTAAGTGAGTCAAACTATAAAACAAGATGAGCAAACAAGAATGTTAACAAGATTGGGAGAATCGTATGCTTCTATTCGTCAAGTTGTGGAGTGTTGAGTGTGATTTACAAGTGAGAGATTACCTTTAATAACACTACTCTATGGAACTATCTAAAGACTTTATCTTGATATTTACAAAAAATCTTCTAGCTACACAACAAGTAGATATATATGGATCATTCCGGTATATGTTTGGACACTCATGATTCTTGTTTGGCTCTTCTTGATCCATTTCCATGGTTGATGCCTGATGGATCCGGATTTTGTAGAGAACCTTCTAGCGAAACGTGACACTAAGGTTGTTAAAGCTTGTGATGGCTTAGTATTGTTATAACTTGTTATATATAGTTAGCTTGGATCTTTACACTTCTTAAGTCAAGTTCAAGTCTCTTTAAAGAAATCGCTGTGTAGATTTTTGACGGTTTCAAAAAAGATCGTCGCACAAATTTGGGAATAGCCACCACCTAAATGTTAAGGCTCGGGGAGCATCATAGAGCCATTATCTACCACCAACGTCACCTCAAGCACTTGCTGCAAACTTGCAAATTTGTATAATAAGCTCATATTGATGTATCATTAGATGATTACAATGCCAAATCCGTATTAGGATCCACACCTTCATGATGACACTTTTAGCAAAAGCCATTTTACCTTGGCGAAGAGGAAACACTAATTATTCGTGTCGCAATAATATATCTAATGACGATAAAATCCCCCTTGGTGGCATAGGCTTTAAATGAGGTTATGTTACTTATAATTCACAAGGAACTTCTTTATGTAAAATTAACACTCTTTTTATTATTAGGAAGATTGAATCTTGATGTTGGATAGGCAACAATGAGATTGCTTGGCTTGTGAGTAGAATTACTACGTTAAACGGTTATGAAATACTTCATATTTACATTACCTTGGATTATGAATTTATGGCAACCACCGATATTGCCACCAGTCTCTCAATTCCAATCGCCTCTTCTGAAAGAAGGATTTATTTGGAAGTTTGAGAAATGAAAAACCTAAAAGTCCTCCTTTCACTTATCATTACTTGAGCGCCATTGGGATTATGTAAATATGAGTTTTTACTGATTAGCTCGAGTATTTACCAAACACAACTGGATAAGCACTTACCTTACCGGGTGAGCATGGGAAGGCCCAAAAATCTTATCCCGTAAGCATTTACCGGGTAAAAGATTGCTTACCAACCATCCATTTTGATGACAGTGAGGGTAGGCGCGTTTGGTAGACGGGCCCTAACCTTTATGAAAGGTTCACTACTTTAAATGGCCAAGAGAGATACACTCTGATTTCTTTGTTCTTCCAACTGTCATTAAATTTTGAAGGTGTGGTTGTTGTTGCAGGTGTTCAGTTAAAGTAGTTGCTGCTCCAATGGATTAAATTATTTCATGAAAAAATTGCCACTATTGTATCAGCAGTTGCTTGTTCTGATAAAAATGAAGGGACCAAATGATGCCCATATCTATTAATTATCATCATCCTACTGTAAAAAAAGATAGAAATGTATTTGTACCCATAAACCATCTCCCTCATTTGTGAATGTTTTCTCAATATTATTAGGCCTTTGGACTCCAGTAACATGTTCTTTTTATGTGTATAATATTTATAAACAACAAATATATACGCTCTTCACCTTCCTTTTGATGAGGTTTGAACCTTAGTTCTTTTGGGAGGCTAGGCTCTTCGCTTTGTTCTCAAAGTTCCCCTGAGGAAAGGAGAAGAAAAGAAGGAAAAAATTTCATGTTAAACATGAGAGTCAGGAAAGAAAAGAAAATGTGTCATTTTTACAAATATATTCCTTATATATATAGGGTATATTTCTTTTACAACCTTGTGCATTTGTACAACCTTTGCAACCAAATTAATTGAGATATTTATAAAAATGATTGGAGTTCATTTATTATGATTTGAATATTT